GCACTCTCTCAGTGGGGGAACACTGAGCCCCACAGGAAGCCAGGCTCACATCCACCTTCACCCTGTCAGCTGTGAGAGTGAGTAGAGGGGTGTCTCTGGCCTGAGTCTGTACAGTCAGGGCTCGGGGACCCCAGCCTGCCCAAGATGGTGCCAGGCACACACAGGTGGGATCCCCCAGCCCGTGAGCACAAGCCTAAGGCTACAGGTGAACACAGGAGCTGGAGGTGGCTGGGACAGTGCCATGGAAGGATGACGCCATGGGCACAGTGGGCAGCAGGGGAGTGGGAAGGGAGCTTCATTCTGCAGCCTCCTCTGCACACCAGGCTGCGGACAAAACCCACTAACCAAGCATGATACAAACGACTGACCCTGGGTGTCCAAGCGACCCTGATCTCACCCACAACTCCAGCTGGCTGCACTAACCACCACCTAGCACCCACAGCGGCAGTAGGTACTACAGACTTGGCATGTGGCTAAGCACTTGGTTACAAGGAATCCTGGGGATCAAGTAAGAACCCAAGTGCCTTATATCCCAGCACTTCCCCTGGACCTGAGCCTCCCATGTTACACAAGAGCCTAGCACAGGGGAGAGAGGAGCCCAGCGCAGGGGAGAGCAGACAGCGCAGGGGAGAGAGAGGTGCCCAGCACAGGGGAGAGAGGTGCCCAGCACAGGGGAAAGAGGTGCCCAGTGCAGAGGAGAGGAGCCCAGCGCAGGGGAGAGAGGTGCCCAACGCAGGAGAGAGAGGTGCCCAACACAGGGGAGAGAGGTGCCCAGTGCAGGGGAGAGAGGTGCCCAACGCAGGGGAGAGAGGTGCCCAACGCAGGAGAGAGAGGTGCCCAACACAGGGGAGAGAGGTGCCCAGCGCAGGGGAGAGAGGTGCCCAACACAGGAGAGAGAGGTGCCCAACACAGGGGAGAGAGGTGCCCAGTGCAGGGGAGAGAGGTGCCCAGTGCAGGGGAGAGAGGTGCCCAATGCAGGGGAGAGAGGTGCCCAACGCAGGAGAGAGAGGTGCCCAACGCAGGGGAGAGACCAACTGAGCAGAAAGAACATTCCCTTATTACCAGGTTCATGATGGCAGCCACACCTTACAGGAAGCTGACCTTTAGTCTGTGACACTCCATAGGCGAACACCATGTCCTGAAGAAGTATTGCTCCTTTCCAGGACGTGACAAGGTTTGGTCCTTTACAGGAACACCTGGTGTTTAAACTCATGGAGTTGTACCACTGCCAAGACCAGCAGAAGCTCCAAAGCCTACACAATTGGCCAAAGATCTTGCTCAGAGTGACCCTGGCCAAGATCGCAGTCTTGTGGGCCAGAGTACTGTGGGCTGAATACCGCCATGTTCACATCCACACAGGGCACATCATCCCAGCAAACCTGAAGCACAGTCAATGGCCATGCCTACCCAAGGATGAGAGCAGAGGTGGAGGAGAGCTGGACACACTGAGCCAAGCCCCACACTGGTGCTGGACAGGCTGGAGTGAAACCAAGCCTGATGCTATTGGCATGCAGGCCAAACATGAGGGACTCAGGGGGTGCTGGGAGCTCCTGGCACGAGGGACAGTTCCATAAACTAAGAGTTTAAGACTCAAACTAAATGAAAAACAAATCCTCTCTCAGCAGCGTAGAAACCAGAGCCACTGCTGCAGGAAACACAAGTTTGGGCCAACGTGGTGTGTCCATTGTGTGTGAAAGAGTACATGTGTTCAAATGCGCGCTAGTGTACATATACAGATATGTGGGCACATGATTATATGTTGTGCAGTGTAAGTGTAATAGTGTGTTGTGTGTGCAAGTCCACGTGTGAGGAAATGTGACCATGTGTGCAAGTCCACGTGTGCCATGCGCATGCACACGTGAGCATGTGAGGGAGTGTGCCCTGTGTCCTGCATGTGTGTCCATGGGCAGTACACGTGTGCCTGCATGAGAGCACACATGGCTATGAGCATGTGAGTATGAATGTGAATGTGTCATATACATGGGAGCTGGTGGTTATACATGTGTGTGCACTGTATCAGCACAGGTTCACAAGTCACAAGAACACAAAGCACTCCAGGGAGAGATGGTCACCAGGGCCCAGGCATGTCACCACAGCTTCCTCCTCTGCCATGGTGTGAAACCAGAGCTATTTCATTTCCGCAGTTCATGGAGGAAGAGGCTGGTAGAGCCTTGCAGGAGGAGGGGTTTGGGAGGCAGGAGACAGGCACTCACCACCCTCACTCCCCGGGACTGGCCAGAGGCGCCAGGCTCCCCCGCCCTGGCGTAGCCCTTCCTGCCACCTGTGCAGGTGCAGAGCTTGGTGAAGCAGCCCCGGGACATTCCACAGCCCATGTTGTCTTCCCTGCTTTCCGTCTCAGCTTAGATTAAGCTCTCAGTGAGGTGCAAGCTGCAAGCCACTTTAACCAAGCCATTGCCAAGAACCCAGTCGCCCTCAGCTGGTCCTGCCAGTGACAGGAAAAAAACTGATGCTGATGACACCGCAGGCCAGGCAGACTCTCCCCTCACAACTCTCCCTTCACATAGAGTCTTTGGGGAAACAATCACAGTGCCTGATTCTGGAAGGTTCTACAGGAGACCAGAGAAGCCATGGCCAAGCCCTGAGCCCTGACCCCAGCCTGTCCCTGACTCCCTTGAGGAATGTTCATCTTCTCCCTTCCTCCCAGCCCTGCAGCCAAAACTGAGAGATGCAGCACAGGACAGCATAGAGGACAGACCTTGGCTGGGCATGTCCTAGGCATCCAGCATGTGCCTGCCTGAGCCCCGAGCGGTAACTTCTTCTCCCAGGGGAAGCACCATTTGCAGGCCAGCTTCACAGTGCCAGAGGACAATGGGTTTCAAAGAGAGTTCATTTCAGTGCCAAAAACATTGATACCCACTCTGATCATCTCGTCGGGCACGTCTCACACACATTGCAAAAAAGCCCACCCACCTCACCCCACTTTCCACAAATTCTTGGATGCACTTGAGGGAGATAGCCCAGGCTGGCTTGGACACTCATTGAGCCAGGTCCAGCACTGGCCCAACAGGATTCCAAGGATGGAACCCACATGGGTGAAACTTAAGCCTTCATCTACCCAGCGCCGTGTCCCTGGGCCAGCCTTGGCTGACGGAAGGGCAGCCAGTGGCTCAGGGCTCCGAGTACCCTCAGCCTAACCTCAGTGTGCCAGGCCAGGGCTCCTCCCTGGCCTCAGGTCCTGTCCTTGCTCCAGCCTCGCAGCTCAGGCCTGGCTCCACCCTCAACACTGACCTCAGTGCTCATGTCCTGGGGGACTGTTTGCAGGTAGGGCCGGCTGGGTCAGGCCTAGCCTGTGCCATGGAGATGCTCACAGTGCCATGTCTCTGCCCACCTCACCTACACCACCAGCAGACAGGAGGAGGGGCAGTGTCCTTGCAGCTGACTGGCACTTCCCTGACGGCTGGTGCCATGGAGCGTCCCAGGCCAGGCTTCCCCACCATGTGCCCACCCATTTGCCTACTCACATGTTGAGCTCCAAACCAGGTCAGACCACGAAGCCAGCCCTTTGCCAGAACTGCCACTCACCTTCTCACTTGACGCTCTTTTGAATCTAAAAAGGCCTGAATGTCTAATCAACCTGCCATCTCATGGTAGCTCAGAGATCACTACTTGAAGAAGACACCAGGGGTACCTCCAGGCAAACCAAGGGGCGCTGCTTCCTTCACGCAGCCCTGGGCCATCAGCACAGGCCATCTCTGCTCACATCATGAGTTTGCGATTAGCAGCTACGCTTCAGACAGGAATGCCTGACCCTTTGAGGCTGGCACCCGTCGCAGGCTCCTCATGAGCACACTGAATCATGTCCCCACAGTCATGACAACCTCAGAAGCTTCCCTGTGCGCACCTGAGGAACTCCTTACTTCACTCACCTCCACCCTCCTACAGCCCTCACCCCCTCCTTCAGCAAGCCTCAGCAGCAATGTTGTTGCTTGAGGCATGTTTAGGTCCTGTAGTCACAGCAGGGGCAGCGCAGACATGCTACAACCCCTCGGGCCTGATCCAAGAGCTTAAAGAAAATTAAACAACCGCAAACCCAAACCGCAAACATCCAGCAGCTTGGGGCAACCCCCACCCTCACCCCAGAACAATGCTGACACCAAATTAGGGCCTGTGTCCCTGACTGCTGGTCTGCAAACTCCCAGCTCCATCTCACCAGCAGCCACAGTGGATGCTGGCCCTAGGAACACCCATCCCCTGCACCCAGGAACGAGGCCCTGACTCAGCCCCCACATCCTCCAGGTGCAAGGCCCTGGCTCAGCCCCCACATCCCCCAGGTACGAGGCCATGGCTCAGCCCCCATATCCCCTAGACACGAGGCCCTGGCTCAGCCCCCATATCCCCCAGGAACGAGGCCATGGCTCAGCCCCCATGTCCCCCAGGTACGAGGCCATGGCTCAGCCCCCATATCCCCCAGACACGAGGCCATGGCTCAGCCCCAGCTCCACTCAACAAGGACAGGGCCCCTCAGTCCTTCTGATGAGATTTTGGAGAATCCCAGGTCAGCCACAGGACAGGTGCCCAGAGCGGCCTCTCCCACAGGTACAGAAGGACACTGCTGTCTAGAGCCTGCCCTCCTGCTCACCACCCATAGGCTCTGGTACCTACACTGTGGCTCTGCTGAGCACTGGGAGCTGGGCACCACGCACGGTAGGGGAGACAGCCAGACGAGAGCCTGACCCTGAGCCTGAGGTGTCCAGTCCAGACACAGCACTGGTTGAGGCGTGGCGGCCACACTCTCCAGGTCCTGCCTGGCAGAGCCTGTCAGGTTCTCCTCCCACCAGTCGGGACCACCAAGACAGGGAAGGAGCATCTGGAAGTACAGTCATGAGTGTGTGCCCAGTGAAGGATTCTTGCCACTGCAGCCAGGTGTGCAGGTTACCCTGGCCACTGCCCTCCTGGCACAAGTCTGGTCAAATGCCCAAAGCACCAAGCACAGAGAGAGTCCCCCAGCCACCTCGCCCGTGCCCTGGGCTGAGTCCTACCTCTTGGCTTCCTCCAGGTGGCACAAGTATTCGTAGGCGATGTTCTGTCGCCGTCTCTCATCCATCTCCTCTGCGGACAGTCGCTCATCATCCACGATGGCTGCAGAGACAGGACACAGGGTGTCACTGCCCAGACATCATGAACTCTGCCAGAGGCTGGGGTATGGGGCTTGAAATGGCACACGCCCAGAGGCACCACCCTGCCCCCCACCAGGTGCAGTTGGGATTGGGGAGTGGGCAGTAGCAACAGTCCTAGCAGAGCGACTAGACCCCCAGGACTCCCCACCACACCATGGCAGTTGTTGCCAGGATGCCGCCCGAGGCTCCCCGTGGAGGTAGTGCCCACCCACATGGCCATCTGTGAGAGATTGCACAGACACATGTGTCTCCTTATCCAGGAGGAATCACAGTGTCCCGTCCTGCAGCATGACAGATCCCAGCTCCCCCTCCTGCCTCTTGGCCATGACAACAGAACCTCCTGGCAGCAGGGCCATGAGGAACAAAGCAGGTAACATGCTAGTTGGTTCCCCACACAACCTGGAGTGTGCCAACACATCTGCTTTCCTGTCGGTAGAGAATATGGCACCCGTGCCCACTGCATCCCAACCCTGGGCCACAGCTGCCAACCACTGATCTATTCATCACGTTCCCACTTTAGTCTTGCCTGGCCAACCTGGTGTCTACTTAGTCAGTTCACGCATCAGGAAGACCTGTGCCTGTATGTGCAAGCATGTACACATGGTGCAGTGTGTCACATGTTGCATATACATCCCCATGTGTGTACCCAGGTACAGGATGTGTACTGCACAGATGCACACAGCACCACGAATACCCCATAATGACCACGTGTACAGGCAGGCAGGGAGGAATGTCTGTGCTGCTCTCTTACATCCAGACCGTTGGCCACACATGCAGGAGAGAGAAGGCGTGATGGACACCCCTGTGAATTCCCCGTGGCAGACAGAAGAAGCAGGGAGGAATGTGGAACTTGGGATGGAGCCAGAATGATGATCTGCAGCTCAAGATCTGATCCTGACACTGAACCCCCAGGGCTTCAGATCAGGCAGACAGACCCGTCCCCAGACACACAGACAGACCGGCAGGGTCGGCCTCCAGCTGTACTTCTCAGGATCACCTTTCTAAGTTGTAACCCAACCAGCTCCACTTAGCGCTCCAGGGGGGAGTGGGGAGGAGGGCGTGAATGCCTGCCCAGGCTCCTCTTCCAGCAGGTGCAACTGCTGCAGAAATCTCTTGGGGTGCTGGCTCTGCACCACCCACAGAACAGAGCCGCAGCCCTGGGAGCTGGGTTTGCTCCTCCCTTTGCCTTCTTACCCCTGCACTCTAAGCAATAGCAGTGGGTGTAGCTGCCAGCCCAACACCCCATTGCTATCAGATCTCTCACTTCAGTTTCAGTGTCACACTCACTGTTGTGGCCCTGTCCATTGATACAGCCACATCATGCCATGCCCACTGCTACAGCCACTGTGGTCCTGCACACCACTGAGACCATACCCATTGCTATAGCCATGCCCACCAATGCAGCAATACCCTCGATCTCACCATGCTCACAGCTGTGGCCCCGCCCTCACCACGCCTACCTCTACCTTGCCCCACCCACTGCTGTGCTCTGCCCAGCCACCAAGGCCACCATGTCCTTGGAGTCACAACTCATTGGTTTGTTCAGCAAACACTGGAGTGGCTGCCTTGTGCCAGCCTGTGCTGAGGACAAAGGGTGAGAAGTATGACTCATCAGACTGTTTGTGGGAACAGGGTATTGGGGGGACATGCGGGGAGGGCTGGTTGTGAGGGACAGCAAGTCATAGAGCTGTACACCCACCCGTTCAGCACCCCATGCACGGCTCCTCCACACATTCAGTGTTGTCCCTTGTCCTGGTCATGCTCCAGTCACCCTGGAAGTTGGATCCTACACGGCTGGGACACCATCCTTGGAACAAACCACCCCATGGAAGGCCCCAGAAGGACAACTGAGTCCAAGACACTACAACCAGGGCAGAGCTGGGAACCAGCAAGGAGAGCAAGAGGGGGCCGATGTCCATGGCTCCTGTGTCTCACCGGCTTCCTGCTTGACGCACATCTCACAAAGACTCCCTGCATCAGATGGGCATTGGAGACATAAGGGGGAGACTGGGAAGTGCAGCCCACTTGGGGACAGTAGGGGCCGGCACCACCTGCACCCTGGCGTAGTCTCTCTTGGCCCTGGCGTAGTCTCTCTTGGCCCACTAGGGCCCAGGGTCACAGCTGATGATGGCCTGGCAGGAAGTAGCCTAGCCTTACTGGGCTATTGGGTCCTCCACCATCCAGCTTCCCAATGACCAACCACGTGTCAGCCACAAAGGAACACAGTTCTATAGAGGCAAAGCTCAGCTTTGGCCAGCAGCCAGCCTTCCTCCCCCCAGACACACCCCAACCCGGGGCACTGACCCCAGCTTGGCTCCTGTGGCTGTGCAGGTGCGGGCAGCTTAGAGAACTGCCCGGGAGGTCACACTCCCAGAAAACATCGGATTCCAGGCGCTCGGCCCACGCTGCACCAGCTGCTGCAAGCCGCCGAGCCCACAGGAGCCACATCTTGGGGAAGGAGTTGGGAGGAGCAGCCAGGACTTGCTCGTCCAGCCTGACTCTCCCCACCTCCTTGCTGGACAGGTCTACCCCACGCTTCTTCCATCCTCCTACACTTGCCGAGGGGTCCTCTCTAGAGCAACTTTCACGATCTGCTCCTTCTAACCTTATGTTCCCAGAAGCAGAACAGAAGGGCTGACGTGCTACAGCATGCCAATCCTCCACCTGAGATGTCAGTATCACATGTGGATGCAAGTTTCAGTCCCAGCAGCTCCACTTCCCATCCAGCTCCCTGCTGTGGCCTGGAAAAGCAGTCGAGGACAACCCAAAGCCTTGGGACCCTGCACCTGCGTGGGAGACCTGGAAGAGGCTCCTGGCTCCCGGCTTTGGATCAGCTCAGCTGCAGGCACTGCAGCCATCTGAGGAGTGAACCAGCAGATGAAAGATCTTTCTCTTTCCTTCCCTCCTTTTCTCTCTGTAACTCAGCCTTTTACATATATAAACCTTAAAAAGAAAGAAAAATATTAAGCAGAGCACAGCAGGCAGGGGAGTCTACTCGGGGAGCGGGCCCCAGTACAGCTGGTTAACCAGTGCTTAACTAACCCCAACTAGTTGGCATTTAGTGCTGGTAACACAAACCAGCCAGCCTCCAGTACAACCATCTCCCCCATCCTGCCTTCCCTCATCAAGACAAATGCCAGATACCAGATACTAGACTATAGGCCATTTGATAAATTCCTCGTTTTCACATCCAAAAGCATTTGTACTAAAAACACAGATGACAAGGCAGGCATTGAGCCTACCACTAACACTTCCTCGCCCACAGGCGCTTGTCCTGACTCTGGGTTCTGGCCAGTGCAGGCCCTGGGAGACAGGGACGACGCCTCGGGTCGATTGCCACCCTCCTGGGTGACCTTAGCTGAGCTCCCAGCTTCCAGCTTCAGTACGCGGCCAGGCCTTGGCCTCTCCAGTGAAGACAAAAGGAACACATGGTTGAGGAGGTGGCAGGCCTGGCAGGAGGCAGGCACCACTGCAGTGTGTAGAGCAGAGCTGACCATGCCTGGGCACATGCTTGGTCTGTTGGGCCAAGCCCTTCCATAACTCTGCAGGGGTCCTCAAAGTGGTCACGGGAAATGCAGCACATCCAGCACATGGATGTAAAGGTCTTAGTTCCAAACCCACCCTGTGATGCCACTTGCCCCTGAGCTGCTTTCAGTTCCCACATCCCTTATTTCTGGGTAGCCAGGGAGAGGCCCTAGGGAGGGCATGGGGACCAGCTCTGCCTCACACAGCCTCTGGTCCCCCAGGCAATGATGGTGACGGGCCCTCAAGTCAGGCTCCTCCACCACTCAGGGGCAGGGGGTCCAGGGGACCAGGGGGCCTTGGAGGTTCAGGTCAGGAGTGGGGAGTCAGAGGGCACCCCAGAAGCAAACATTCTAGCCTCGAGGCTCCACATGCCTCCCGGCTCAGTGGCCATCACCCAGCCACAGCCCAGAGGCAGGTCCAGTGCCTGCTGCACCTCATCACAAGGACTCAGCTCTTGGCCCAAAGCCCAAAGCCCAGGTTTGACATGGGATCAAGTGGGGGACACAGCCCAGTGGGAAAGACATGGACAGAAGGCCTGGGGGCTGCTGCTGGGGTCCCCAGACACAGTGAGACAGACTGGCAGCTCCCTCAAACACTAAACTGTGGGAGCTGACCCAGGCTGGGCTGACCTCACCCTCATGACATCACAGAAGGGGTGCTCCCAGCTACCATGAAAAGGTGAGTCAGAGAACAGCTGATAAATATGGATGCAAGCGAAGAAGACCACAGCACTCGGGAGGGCCGGTCAGGAAGCAGCCATGGAAGACAGACACAGGTAGAGGTGGCTGGCACACAGTGGAGGGGAGGGCCAGGGCAGAGAACAGCGGACATGCTGGCACACAGGAAATGACCTAGGGCTGCAGACAAAGCACCCAGCCCAGGCCCCCTCATAGCCCCAAGGAGCCAGCCTCCCCCAGCTGCTGACACCCTGACAGCAGCCAGGGCCTTGGGCTCCCAACACAGGCCAACGGCACTCAATGTGCTCCAAGCACAGCACGGATGAACTCCCACAGGGACACGGTGGCCCACCCGCAGGCCTGGCATTCTTCCCAGCTCCCATTTCTTCACAAACCCTTCAGAACCAGCTTCTTCAAGGCTGTGTGTGGGTTAACACAACTACTCCACAATGTGTTTAAACTTCTCCGCAGCTCAGCTCTATCTCCAGGATGCTCAGCTCGTCGGGGGCCTGAATTCCCTCTTGGCAGTTCTGCTGATGTGTCCTAGATTGGTATCGACCCAGTCAGAGTTGCCGTGAACAGTGGGTGGGGTAGCTTTGGAGCCTGCTGAGGGGTGCCCAAAGTCCATGACTCCATCCCCTGGGGCCCAGTGCCCCCTCCTCGATTGCCAGCCACACAGCGGCTCCAACCAGCAAGGTGGCACACGGGGCTTCCAGAACTGTGACTGAGGGGCTCCTGCCATCTCCAGGGTGCCTGGTCT